TTCCAAGCTTTGTATTCTTCCTTGTTTTGTAAGGTTTTGTAACCCTTTGTGACTTGTTCAACAACTATATAAGCTATGAAATGGAATGAGAGAAGTATAGCTTTAGGGTTTGCTCGATCCATAACGTTGTTACGTGCTACTGCCAGAGTGATGTATAGTATAGTTAAAGAAGGATCAATGTTCTTCACCGTAAGACATAGGTTAAATTTTGAGAAACGGTTGCAATCTCTAGTTTTTAGTCCTTCCTTACTTTAAATATTGAGTTAGTCATTGTAAGAGTTGCTCGACTTAAATGGTGTACAAGATGTGAATCCATTTTTACGTTTTTTTTTAATATTATAAATCTTGTACATATTTTTGTCGTTCGATTTATAATCAAGCAACTACAACGCACATAGACGTGATACTTACGCCTACCAGATTCTAGAGGACAGTAAGCTTCTCATTCTCATACTCATTGTGAGATGTGAATCACATGAACCCACTGCTACATTCGTTTTCTTACTCAATCGTATGCACATTATAATCATTTATACATGAACTATTATACCTACAACATTCAATAGGGTAGCCATATTCATCCCTATTTTTACACGCTTATTATATATATGCAAAACAAGAATCTACTTCTAAATTCTTATTATTTCTCGGTCCTTTGTTGTCGTCCTATTCACAATCAAATGAACAAAAATGTATGAGTACAATACTTACACCTACCACATTCAACACCGTGGCCAGATTCATTCCCATTTCACACCCAATTTTGGTCCTAAAACTATGAGCTTTCTTTTCTTGTTGTTTTGTCAAGGCCATTTTTCTGTTAAGAATTAGTTGTGGCCTCCCTAAAAGTCATATAATTTACAATTTCCATTCCGGTGGTCCAATTAATAATCACTTTCCCCTCTCACATTATGGGCTTCTCCTCTGTTTCCAATCCCCAGTTCTTTTCTTTCCAAATTCCCCCATTTTTAAACTCTTTAGAGGGTCCTCCTCCATAAACCATAACTTAATCAAAATTCTGCACCGGCTTAGGAAAATGTTAAATTATTATGTAAGAAATGTGCAAACATGATCTCCAATTTGACTTTCTATTCAACCAATCAGACGGTGATGATCAGCAGAGGGAGTAGGCGAGCCCCAACTGGCGACTCTCTGATGCGCTGAACTTGAACTTCTCTTCTTCTAATGTTGAAAAACAACTCAGATGAGTAATAAGATAGCTGGATCCCGCCATTAGAGCAAGTAAATATCAGCATATTTGACTCTTCTTCTCCCCTTTTATATATTGGTCCTTCATAACAAACCAGAATCAAAAAGCAACTCCCTTTTTTTCCCTGGAGAGGAAACTTCTCTCTCTTTTCTTCTGTTTCTCTCTCATTTCTCTGTTTTCCGTCACTCGTCTCAATCTCAAGTTCGCTGGATTCCGTTTTCCCATTTCTGATCTCATAAAAACCCCTCCAGATTCCAGTACTTGGAAATTAAAGATGTTCATCCCACGAACCTGAATTTGAAGCTCGGCCAGATTCTTCATTCCAGAAATCCTGATCTGGGTAGTCCCCTGTTTTCCAAGAAGATGGCTCCAAGCTCGGTGGTTGTCACCATCGAGAAGCCAAACAACTTATCTGTAGTCCAAATCAACGCCGCCACCGCCGGCGACGATTCGCCATTGCTTCCTGCCGACAAGCAGAAAGCGGCGAGCCCCAAGCAGTTCACCTTCTCCATCCTGCTAAAAATCTACAGAGCATTCAGTTGCATCTCATGGCTCGCAGTCGGATCCAATTCCCTCTTCAAATCGATCAAGAAGAGGGTCTCCCAATCCGAGGCCTCAGCCGACGAAGTAGAAGAGCAGGACATGGAGCCCAGAAGTAGAGGGAAGCTATACAACTTTATTAAAGCGTTTCTCGCTATCTCAATCGGCGCACTTGTGGTGGAAGTCGTGGCTCACTACAAAAAGTGGAATTTGAATCTCGTTCAGCCGCCGTGGGAAGTTCAGGGGCTAGTACAATGGTCTTACATGGCCTGGCTCTCGTTCCGGCTCGATTACATTGCTCCCACTGTGATGATGCTCTCCCAATTCTGCATCGTCTTGTTCTTGATTCAGTCTCTGGATCGGCTCGTGCTCTGCCTCGGCTGCTTCTGGATCAAATTCAAGAAATTGAAGCCCCAAATTAACGGCGACGATTACGATGTCGAGGACCCTTCTAGTTTCCCAATGGTTCTTGTCCAGATTCCAATGTGCAATGAGAGAGAGGTAAGTAAAGTTGCCGACTTTCTATTTGATTTCCCAGATCTGAATTTTCTGTCTTTATCTCCCTGTTTTCTTATTGGGGCTTTGTTCTTTAGGTTTACGCGACATCAATCGGGGCGGCCTGCCAGTTGGATTGGCCCAGAGACAGGCTGTTGATTCAAGTTCTTGATGATTCAGATGATCCGAATCTGCAGCTTATGATCAATGAAGAGGTTCATTCATGGCGGCAGAAGGGGATTAATATCATTTACAGGCATAGATTGATTAGAACAGGGTACAAAGCCGGAAACCTGAAATCGGCAATGGGATGTGATTACGTTCAGGACTACGAATTCGTTGCCATTTTGGATGCCGATTTCCAGCCCAACCCAGATTTCCTCAAACTCACGATCCCCCACTTTAAGGTAACTACCCATTTATTTATAGCGTTATATTCCTCACCTACTCTTCAATTATGGCAATCACGATTTGTGTATTGTTTATCTGTGAGACACTGACATTTGACACTACCTAGATGATTTTATTTCATTACGAGTTACATAGTTGTGTCATAACATTGATGATTATGCGAATTATCAACGAAATTTTTAGAATTTTAATTGTCAACTAAATATAGATATCATAAATATTATCGAAACACTATGTATAAGAGTATCATTTCAAAATATATGAGCTATAATTGTCATTTTTCTATAAAATTGGAACCTTTAGTTGGGATTCATTCCCACTAGAATTCGATCCCATTCTGGTGGACCTAAACGCTAAATGTCACTAATATCACTAGCACACTAATGTGTGCGCCACAATTTGATTTAGAATCCTCAATCTAGCAAAGTTCAGACCATCTGACAGTATTAAACCAAACGGAAATCACGAGAATTTGAATTCCACCCTGTTTTGCTTGTCTTATATATAACGTTAAGTGGGTTGCGGTTCTGATTGCAGGGGAAGCCAGAGGTGGGTTTGGTGCAAGCTCGGTGGTCATTCGTGAACAAAGACGAGAACTTGCTGTCGAGGCTACAAAACGTTAACCTGTGCTTCCACTTCGAGGTCGAGCAGCAAGTGAACGGCATGTTCTTGAACTTCTTCGGGTTCAATGGGACTGCAGGGGTGTGGAGGATCAAGGCGTTGGAGGATTCCGGCGGTTGGCTTGAGAGAACCACGGTGGAGGACATGGACATTGCAGTAAGAGCTCACCTGAATGGGTGGAAGTTCGTGTACCTCAATGATGTTAAGGTTCTTTGTGAGTTGCCGGAGTCGTATGAAGCTTACAAGAAGCAACAGCATCGGTGGCATTCTGGGCCTATGCAGCTCTTCCGCCTCTGCCTCCCTGCCATTCTGAAATCCAAGGTCGGTTGCATCCCCGTGACTTTGCACTTAAGTTAATTGTCATTTGTAATGGATATATACTAGGGTTCCAACATTGAATCTTTCGACTCTCGAAGACGTTTAAACTATATCAAACCCAATTCGTCACAGTAAATCGAATTGTTAGATTGCTGTAACACTTTTTTTCTTGTAGTTAAAATTCAGCTCAATCATTGTCAAGTCATAATCTTTTTTGTTTTGTTTGTTTGCAGATATCAATGTGGAAGAAGGCCAACTTGATCTTCCTCTTCTTCCTACTAAGAAAACTAATCCTGCCCTTCTACTCCTTCACTCTATTCTGCATCATACTCCCACTAACCATGTTCATCCCAGAGGCAGAGTTGCCACTCTGGGTAATCTGCTACGTCCCAATTTTCATGTCATTCCTCAACATCCTCCCATCCCCCAAATCCTTCCCTTTCCTTGTCCCTTACCTCCTCTTCGAGAACACAATGTCGGTCACGAAGTTCAACGCCATGGTCTCGGGCCTGTTCCAGCTCGGGAGCTCGTACGAGTGGGTCGTCACCAAGAAAACCGGGCGGTCATCGGAGTCCGACCTGCTAGCCCTGGCCGAGAGGGAATCGAAGTTGGCCCCTGCCGCGGCTGGCGAAGAGAAAGCTACGATGTTGAGGAGGCATTCGGAGTCCGGCCTGGAGCTGCTGAGCAAGCTCAAGGAAGTGGAAGCCGAGGTTGCTGGGGCGCCGAAGAAGAAGAAGAACAGGTTGTACAAAAAGGAGCTGGGGCTGGCTTTCTTGCTTCTCACGGCAGCTGCCAGGAGCTTGTTGTCGGCTCACGGAGTTCACTTCTACTTCTTGCTGTTCCAAGGGCTGTCGTTTCTCGTTGTTGGGTTGGACTTGATTGGGGAGCAAGTTAGCTGAAAACAGAGGGAATTGTGGGTTGTGAATTTAATTGATTGATTTGGTTTTGGACCGGGGCGGGTTATAAGCCAAGGTTTTTGGTGCTTATACGAAAGGAATGATTTGGTGAAGTGGAGTAGGGGATGGATGAGTGAAATCGAGATCAAATGGTCTCGATTGGGATGGGGTAATATATGACGAGTGGAACGAAAAGAGACGATAGATAGGAAAACTTTTTTTGGTTTTGTTTTGTGATTTGAAACGGTTAATTAGATTCAAATTGAGTTTGTACAATGTAATTTTTATTCAATGTACCAATAATAGTAATTATAATTTGTAACATTTTTCATTTTGCAAGCTCTTCTCATAGATTTAACATAGAAAGTATTGAAATTTGCCTTGAATCGAATCATCTGAGAAATTATAATTTATAATATCTTTCATGTTGCAAGGTTTGGGTGAGAAAATATCCTTAAACCAAATATGATTAACTCGGTTTCCGATTTCAATTTTGGGCACAAATAAAATTGAAAACCAATTGTTTCTTAAAAATTTTTAAGAAAAACCAGATCAAATTATTCCAATCCCATCCTGGCCTTATTTCTTTTTCTTCCCTCACTGTTTGCTTTTTCTCAGATGGAAAAGGCAGGGCTTTTATTTTTGCTTTTAACTCGACCTTCATCAGAAAGGTCTTGTTTATTATTACTGAGACTGATCATGTCACTTGATAGGGAACATGATAACTAAGCAGTACTGTTCCTTATAGAAAGATGGAGTGATCATCACTACTTGATCATACAGACTAACATAAAAAAAGACCATGCATAACAAAATTGATGAATCAACAGGCACAAAAGCCACCAGTAGTTGTAAGTTCTAAATTATTGTTTCCCAAATTATTACTCTTTTGCTTCGTTTCACCTTCGATTAATGGCCTTGTCGATGGAGTATAGGTTTCCATTGTAACAGAGAAGCATCTTTCTTCAACCGGTAGAGTATACATTTTGCCAGTAATAGGATCCAAGACAAGTAGTTGATCACCATTACTGTTGAAAATCACTTCCCCATCTTTCGATAGGCCTTTTGGCCTTCTCATCGTACCAAGTGGAGGGGAGAAGGAAAATAACTTGCACCAACACTCTCCAACAGTTTGGCCATATTGCTGCAACACCCATATCTCGAAACTCCGTTCGAGATCCCCACTTGGGAAGCGGTTCTGACAATGAAAGAGTGCAATGGTCTCATCCTTCAACATGAACACAACGGCAGCATCGACAGAACCATAATACTTGCAAGGATTTGGGAATGTTCTGCTGGCCTGGATCACTTCACTGCTCATGTCAAACGAAACAATTGTAATGGTGCTCTGGTAGACGGTGGAACACACATTCTCCCCTCCTACCCAGAGAAACATTTGCCCTTTCTCCCACTCAGCCTCACTCTAGGACAATATTGTGGGATTTCAGAATCATGTAGTCTCACAACACCATACCAACAGAACCGTCGAGTTCCCGCCATGAATTGCCTCTCATACCACATACATGAACCCTAATGCGAAAGCAAGGTTTTTTGTCAGTAGGTCTCACTTCCACACGAAGGATACTAACAACTCTGTAGTCATTGGTCTGCTGGTCAAACCCGAACCTAACAGTTTTCCAACATAACGAGTAATCAGTCCGAGGCAGATGCAGGGGAGGAGGGAGCAACTTTACCTCGGATGTGGCCGGATTGAACAGTACAATACGGTCATAGTCGATTCCTGAAACGAAGACGGCGGGGTCGGGGTCTGTGTAGGTAAGGCAAATCAAGCCACCACAGGAGCCCACAATAACCGCACTGGGCTGCTTGCGATTACGATCGGGAAGACTAATGCCGAGGTCTTGTCGCAAATCTCGATAAGGGGTTTCGACAGTGAGCGAATCGAATGAGAGGGAACAGTAAACGGAACGGCTTGTTCCGTCACGTTTGAGCCCGAGCTTGAGGAGGATCTTAGTGTCGTCGGGTCGGCGGTCGTTGTCGATGAAAAGAGGGTTTTGTAAATGAATTTAGGGTCCGAGAGTACCATGATTTGCAGACGCACTGGAAACGCGGGAGGCAGGAGATATGAAGTCTCGGCAGAATTCCGTCGATGAGTTCCCCCGGAAAGTTAATTGCTTTGTTGTTGTTGTTCGTCTTCTTGTTATTCATAGTTCCCGTCGATCACAGCGTTCACCGGAGGCAGCACGTGAATCGGAAGCTAGCTATTGGGTTTTCTATTTGTAGGCATTGATAATTTGATTTGCGTAAGGGGTTTCATTGTAGGCCATAGATAATGGGCTTGGATGATTTTTTAGCCCAAAAATGACCCAATATTTTTGATTTCCCGCCAAAGCCCAAAATAGATCCCGTCTCTTCTCCCGACGTCCAGTAACGTTTCAAATTCCGGCAGTTTTGGGTGTCAAGCGTCGTCGGGAGCGGAAGCACTTGCGATTTAGGCTTAATCATAAGCTGTTAGACTGGACTCTACTACTACAGCAAGAGTAGAGAGTCGAACCGTGGGAGAAGTGAAGAAAGAAAGAAATCGACCACTTTCCCCTTTTACCTCGTTTCAACCCATAACCTCATCTCTTCTTCTTGCTTCCGCCAGTTCAGTCCAAGCTTCTAAAACCTAGAAAGGAAGTTGATTCTCAGCTATGGAGCGAGAGAAAGATGCTTTCTATGTTGTAAGAAAAGGCGGCATGATCGGGATCTACAAGAGCTTCCCTGACTGCCTCGCTCAAGCCGGTTATTCTGTAAGCTGTTCCTTCTCCCTTCATATACCCAATCGCTCATTGATGAAATTATATTGTGGGTACTCTTCATTTTGATGAACGACTGCTAAAGAGGATTTCTTTGACTCCTAGTGGATTGGCTACTTAGGTTATTTTGTTGCTTTAAGTATGAAAACCCTTCAACGTTTTGCTCTTTCTTGACATTCTGCATGTTCCTTTTGGCGATGTCTATTCTTGGATTACTCACCTGCGGCATGGTGGTTTTATGCTAGGTTTCCGATCCTTCAGTGAGTGTGTTCAAAGGATATGGTTTGCCCAGAGATGCTGAGGATTACCTTGCATCACTTGGGCTTAGAAATGCTGCTTACTCTGTCAGTGCCACCGATGTTAAGGCTGATCTCTTTGGGAAACTTGAGCCTTGCCGCATCCAGGTAGCTTACAATTTAGAAAAAAGGCTTTCTCATGGGTGTATGGAATCTCAGTCAATGTGGATTCTAGGACTTCAACATTTTCTTTGCGAAGTGCTTTACTGTTTTATCAGTTCTGGTCATATGTATTTGTTGTTGTTTTAATGCCTTCTTTTCTTGAATTTTTTTATTTATCTGATCAAGATTTTGATGGTAGTTTTGCTGTGGTAAGGGGTGTTAGTTTGTTTCTTTGTAGTATATCTTTGAAGTGTCATCTATAGGCTTACACATTGGTTGTTGTTTCTGTCAGCCGCCAGCTTCAAACAAGGGGTCTTCTTCAGAGCGCTATCCGGAAACGCCCACTGTACATGTAAGTCCTTAGCTAGTATGGACATAGCATTTCTGGTATTGAGCATATCTCTAATTGTTATGAACTAGAAACTTGACATCTTAATCCGTGGAAGTATGCAGATTAGTGGTTTGTAACAATCATTTTGTCAATCAAGTTTTACATGTCAGTCACTTTAACATCGTGATTAACTCGCTGTTCAAACGTTTGGTTGCTCTTTACCTTTTGTGGAACAGAGGTGTGGAGTGGCTATAGTCACGGAAACCTCCCCAAACATGTATCCAAAATTACAGAATGATGGAAGCAGTAACCCAGTTCCAACCAGCTCAGTGAGTTTCTCAGTTTCGTTGGTCCTCCAGCATGCAATGCTGGACTACGACCTGCAGGATTCTGTTTCCTAAGTTTCATTGCGTGTAGGCATGCCTGAACAGTTTCATTGTGGTGATTGTTCTGAATTGTCTCTGTGGTTCTAGGTCAACCTCTTTAGATGAAACTCATCTTTATCACATGTCCATAAGATTTCCCTAAACATAAATGTTTGAGAAAGGTGATAGATCTATGCATCATAGAGGACTCAGATCCTAAACCTAATTCAACATTGTCATAAACAGTTGTCCTTGCAAATACACCAGTATACTACATTGTTCTAAAGCTCTTTTCTTTTAAATAACCGTGTTGAGTGTCTTTCCGATGTCTCAGTTTCTCCATACAATTATTTGAGTCATATTAATCTGATGTGTTACTGATTTGATTTGTGAGCTTTACTAGCATATATGTTTCTAACGGCAATGTGAATTATTATGTTTAACCCCAGTCGCCAGCGATCATTTATTTTGATGGTGCATCAAAAGGGAATCCTGGACCAGCTGGTGCAGGAGCTGTTTTGTGTTCCCCTGATGGAAGAATGGTAAAGCAAGTTCTCCTTGACCTGACCAAAAGTTATCTTACGGTTTGCTATATTTTTCTTGAATCAAATTGTGCAGGTTGTCATCTGGGTGTTTTTTGGTGCAGGTATGGCGTTTCTCTGAAGGTGTGGGGCTTGCAACGAACAATGTTGCTGAATATCGAGGTGTGATTCTGGGAATGAAGCAAGCACTCAAAAAAGGGTTTAGAGACATTAGTGTACAGGGGGATTCTAATCTTGTCTGTATGCAGGTTTGTTATATCATTCATGTGCATGAAGTTATAGTCATTTTCAACTGCACTGCAATCCATGCTCGTAGTCCTTACTGTCTGATTGTGTGGACAGATTCAGGGCATATGGAAGTTAAAAAACCAGAACATAATTGCATTGGGAAACGAGGCAAAAGCGCTCAAGGAAAAGTTCCGTACTTTTGAGATCAGGCATATTCTGAGGGTAAGTACATATGCTGATTTAGAATCGTTTGTTTACTGTTAATGTGGTCTGAATTTGAGGATGATGAAAAATCAATTGGTTATACCAGGAATTCAATTCTGAAGCTGATGCACTAGCAAACCAGGCTGTTCAGCTCAGGGGTTAGTCATATCCCACCCTTGAACCTGCACATCCATTGTTACCGATCATTATTATCTTCCATCTTTAGTGGTTTATGGTGTTCCTCTGAATCTCTGGTGCTTAGTTTTTGGGTCTGACAAATTCTGTTGGTGATCATTTATGCAGATGGGCAAGTACACGAGGCTTTGATCACCAAGTAGTTTGACACCATTTGAGGTTGGAGTAAAGGGTCAAAATTTCAGCTCCAGGCCAGGAAGGGGTAGGGATAGAAATGACTTCAGTGCAGCAACTTGTTTATATGTTTTTGCTTAGCTATTGGGCTTCTTGAAGCTAGATATCACATTGCAGCTTCCAATGTTGATAATATAACCTGTTAGCAATTGAAATGGACGGCTCTGATGTAAGCTCCTTTATGATCCCTTCATTCTCAACCTACCTTTTCGTTTCGGCTGTATTACAGGAATGGTCACTGAACTTTGGGGTCACTAATGAATCAGTCGATTAACTATAGTTGACACATAAGAGTTGACTGCCACATAGGATAAAGATAACGGAATTGGACGGAGAGTGACCAAACTTGAACTATTGAATTAATTTTAGTGACCACAAATAGAATTAAATATTTTCAATGACCAAACATGAACTTTTTTAGTAAACCTAGTGACCAAACTTGCAATTTACCCGTTTGAAATAACTAACTAACATAACAACTATGCATTCTCTTCATATTTTTGGGGTTTTTGATCGAGTTATCCTTCATTAAATCAAATAAATTGTGAAAACTAGTGCTTAGATCCTAATAAATTGTAGACATTATGGACTCTTTCATCATATCCATGATTCGATTTTAATCCGCACTCTTCAAAATCATCATAATGTCCTTCACCCTTTAGCTTTAGAGGGTTTTCGATTACTTATCAGTAAGGGCTTCCGATTACTTATATCTATTACTGATTTGGTGTATCAATACACTAGTGTCGACACAATTAAACGAGGAGCCTGACAAAAAGATTGTTACTCTTTCTTATTCCTAGTTTACTTGTTAGTGACGAGTTCATTAAGAAGCAAAATTCAGTGGCTAATTTGTTAGTGATACGAAGTTCAGTGACCGTTTAGTAATTGACCCCTTTGTTTTCTGGAAAGCATCCAGTTTTGTGGATGAATTGGATAAAATAGAGTGCGAAGTGTCGAAAGGCCAAAAGCTCTGTGGGAATTGAATTCAATCATTCGACAATGGCGACGTTCGCAGCTTCATCCTCCACTCTGCCCTCCATATCTACTCCCAATTCTCACTGGATTCCGCCTTCCAAGTCTTTACCCCTTCCAACTGCCGTCCACTTCCGAAGCCATCAACTCTGCATTTCTTTCAACGCCGTCGTGCTGAAGAGTCGGAATTCCCGCTGCTCCTTAAGATTGAGGTCAGCCGAGCAGGATACCTTAATCCCAGAACAAGAAGAGCCAGTCGCAACCCAGGAAGACGCTGCTGCTGAACAGCAGACCGTGTCCGTCCCCGTCTCTCCTTCCGACACTCTTACCATGTACTTCGATGTAAGAAAGTTCGACGCTTTCTCTTTTTAGCTTCTCAAGTTTCGGTTCAGGGTGCAAGACTGAACGTTTCACTAGGGTTTGTGAGCTGTGTTTTTGTTTGTTTTCTTGTGTTCATGCGAAGTACATTGCTAATTGCTTTTTGATTCAATATGGAGTGCATTCTTGATGAGAGATGTTTTTGGGTAACTGTAGGCGGAGGGAACCATGAGCGACGCAGCTATTCCCGCAGTGACCAGGGCTTTAGAGGTAACTAACTGCATAACTTCGTCATTATATCTATACATTTATCAGTTCATTATAGATTGAAGATAATGTTCTAGTAGTTAAAATCCAATTCTTAATTGAAGATAATCCAGGCGTCTAAGCTAAATCCTTCCATGTATTCTCTTTTTTTTATTATATATATACTTCTGCTGATATGATGGAACCAATTGTCAGCAAGTTAGTGTCTTTCTTGATCTGTAGAAGGATTAGTGAAGAATGGGATAAGAATTTGGTTGAACTAGAGGCTTGAGTTCATCTTTTCTCCTTGCATATGCTGTATACAAATTGAAGGAAGGGACACTTTTAGTTCCTCTCGAGTCGGGAGTATAGCAAGTGTTTGATAACATGAGCTTCTTTCTTTGTTGATTGTTTACTTCAGTCCCATATATTTGATTTCTTGGTCATTGAATCTTGATCACTTCTTTATTATGCAGGGGACTGAAGGCGTTGGAGGATTAAAGGTTCAAGTGCTCGAGGGTATTGCCAGTGTCCAGGTCTGAATCTATACCTTTTGCTGCATAACATACTCCACATCGATTGCTAGAAGTATTTTGAGGGAGAAATGTTACATATGGTTCCCTTTATGAATTGCAAGGACAAATGTAGGTTTTATTCATTCATTGTCAATGGCTAATCTGTTTTTGAATGATGACCCTTTGGATTTCTGTATTCAATTCAGTTAACAAAGCAAACCACAGTGCAAGCAACAGGAGTGGCGTCTAGTCTTGTGGAGCTCATACAAGGTTCAGGTTTCAAGTTGCAGACTTTGAATTTGAGTTTCGAGGACGAGGAGGATCTCGTAGCTTAGATCAAGCAAATTTTTGTAAGCCAAACAGGAGAGTAAAAGTACTTCAAAGCATGTATCTTGTCGAGCATGAAGAAATTGTTTATCTATATCATTGTATCTGATAGGTTTGCCAATGAATTATCTCGAGATGAATGGAGGATAATGCCATAATTCTAATCCATTCTTGAAAAGATTGAACCTAGACCTGTTGGTTGCCAGCCTATCGTCGATGATGGTGCCCTTGACATCCTGACCAGTTGGGGACGTTATAGCATGTTTAGAGTACAGGGGCAGGTTGAAATTGTATTATTACGATTGTAATAATATATCATCATTGCAATTAACAACATTTGTTCGTCTTAAGAGTCTCAACACCTGTTGCAGAATGAAGTGAATGGGAATACTGATTGATCAACATGCGCCTAATAAGCCAGTCTGAAACTGGAGTAGTAGTTCATTTATTACAGCAGAAGGTTCTGTCTTGGCCCAGCAAGCTCACAGCAGTTAGAAGACGATGGGGTGATAGCTTCAGCAAGTCGACAAAACCATATTACGTAATATGTCAGAAGGTACTGGGGGCATGTGTTAGTTGGACTAGACATCATTTTCCTTTGTTCTATATATACTTGTTGTATACATAGTAGATACATGCATAAGCTCTCCACTGCACCGCACCACAGTCAGTACTGGTATTACTACTACCACCCTCTCTTAGCTTTCTTCCCACTATGGACAAGCTTGCTCTATTTTATGCTCTCCTGCTACTCGGGCTACTCCTGCTTTCGTTGGACGGCATTCCGAGCAGTACTCGACCCACATGAACAACACAGCGACAACGACGACATCATCCCCATCGCTTACGATCCAACAAAAGAGGTGAAGCTGATGTACCTAGTGGTGCAGTGGCCGTCGGCTGTGTCGCTTCAAAACCTGCCATCCACGGCCTCTGGCCGCTTGGTGGGTTGACGCACCAGAAAACCTCCTTCAGGTAGGGGGCCGTCGCGGCTCCTTTATCATTGACGCAAACCACCGAGGGCCCCCTTGCTTTGCCAGCACCGTCGCGACGTCACCCATTTTGGGTTCCTCACCAGCCTTTATACCGGAGTCTGTGAGGAGCTTCAAGGTGTTGACTTGGTGCTTGACCAACCAAGCGACCAGAGTCCGTGGATGGCAGGTTTTGAAGTGGCACATAGCCGGCGGCCACTGCACCACCAGGTACATCAACTTCACCTCTTTTGCTGGATTGTAAGCGGTGGAGACGATGTTGTTGGCACAAGCTTGTTACTGAGGTACTGCTCGGAACGTCGTCCGACGGAAGCGGGAGTAGCCCGAGAAGCAGGAGAGCAGAAAGTAGAGCAAGCTTGTCGATAGTGGGAAGAAAGCTAAGAGAGGGTGGTAGTAATACTAGTACTGGCTGTGGTGCGGTGGAGAGGTTATGCATGTAACTACTATATATACAAGTATATATAGAACAAAGGAAAATGCTGTCTAGTGTAATTGAGCAACAACCAAATATATGCTTACGAAAGAAATGATACTCTGGACTAGTACAGTTTATTAGGGTTTATTTGAAGTCACACATGCACCTTGTACCTACAAATTCTAACAACCAAATATCTGCACACCAAAGAAATGACAGAGTAGTGTTTGTTATGGTTTTCTTATATATATCGACTCACACACCTTGGCCCTTGCACCTGCAAATTCTAACAAATAAATAGGTGTCATAAATAAATAAATTCATTCTCACTTCTCTCTCCTTTTTTTTTTTTTTTTTTTTTGCAAAATTCTCACTTCTGTCTTTTTCTCCAACAAATTTTCATATGACTTGCAATGGATAACCAAACTTCATTTCATCAATACTATCCAGTACAACTTGCAACTTTGTACTAACTACAATAAACCTGCAGTACACCAGCAACAGCCTACCCATGACCTACCATATACCAGTAAGCTAAGGTCCCCTGCAAAACTCAATTGCTAATCTACTAATTACTTATCATCAAACACCTAAGGAAGTGGTCTTCCGCGAATCAGTTGCGCATCAATTAATCTCAATTTTCGTCTATGACGAGCTTCTCATGCAGTATATGAGCTGTTCTTGCTCTGTTTCTTGCTGACTAATTTGCACGGCAGTCTTTTGATCGCAGAAACTCTTGGAGGGATGGATAACTTGTGTTTGTGAGTACTAAATCGAAATGTGCCGTTTGATTAGCTGCGCTGATCTTATAAGTTCTCTTGGGCCTAGATTGATTAAAATTTAAAACAAACACCACATGATCCGTACGAATAAAACAAATATTGGGTTGTTCTAAACATAAACGAGCAAGCTATGGGCTTTTATTGACAAAGAAGCAAAATGGTAAACCAGTGACTAAACATCTGATTTAGCCTATCAAATCAAAACATGCCGTATAGAGTATCAACTAGCAAGACATCAAATAAATATACCACAAGATCATCATCATCCACAAATATCATATAAACAAAAACTATTGGGGGCACAAGGTTTGTTATATCAACTGCAACGAGGAGTCATAGATGGGTGATTTTGTTAGCAGTTAACCATTAAGCAATGTACATGTAACCGAAACCGAACCACTAAGAAAGTATTAGTTATCGGTTAACAACTACCCGTCGTTAATTTTAATGGTAAAGTCAACAGGTTTCTAAATAATTATGATTATTTTATCGCTTTCATTTACTTCTAAATTAGTGTTATGATAAGATGAAAATTTCTATTTTTAATTATTTTTAAATTGCCACGTCTTTCATATAATGATCAACTATTGAACTAATTTTAGCGACACTAAAATTCTTGTCAAGCTCAAGCTTAATCCTGCAGACCCATTCCTTTACTGTTCCCTCTCATATGATTCACTCCAAGTTGAAATCCCCTATCGAGATTTTCCGGAAGACCTGGGTATTAGGAATCCGAATCCAAATTACAAGCAACCCGGGTGGATAATGAGCGCCTCTGGCGGCTTGTTTTATCCCGCCGACAAATTCTCTCCGATCACCTGCGAAAATATACCAATGCACTGATATGTTGTAATATTGTACTGGTATTTGTAACACTGCACTAATACTCAGATATGACATTAGTATTTGTTTTCCCCCCTCGGTCCGGAAATTTAAAAAATGTTCTCCGCACAATTGAGTGGGTTTCATCTGATCTATGGTGGCGGCCGTAGAGCTCCTCCAGCCCTCCGCATCTCAGATCTGGTGCACTCCGCCACCTCCATGGTCTAAGAAAAGAAAAGAAAAGAAGAAGAATAGCGAAAGAAAGAAGAAAGAAAATAAGATTGGGACTTGAAAGAGAGATGAGCTACGGCTCATGGGTTGAAGAAGAGCCGCCGCTGGGGTGGGCAGTGAGTGGAAGAAGAGTTGTCTCTGCTGGGTTGAAGGCATAGACCAGGAAACCGGATCGTACCGGTCGGTTCAACCGGTGCAACCAGAAATTGGACCAAAAGCGGTACGGTGGGCTGATTGTTCTGATTTTATCGTGCCGGCCGGTTTTTTTGGTTTGACCGGTTGAACCGGCCAGTATGATCCGGTTTCCTGGTCTATAATTCAGCTTCATTTCTCCGTATTCTCGTCCAATATGTGAAAAATAATTAAAAAGAATATTATTTTGCTATTTTTCTATGTTGAAAATGGGTCACCGTGGTTGTATAATGCTCTATTTGGTTCTTTTTTTGATGGATTATATTTTTTATACTATCGCATTTCATTTCTCTATCAATAGTGAAAAACGGTATTTACCGGTACAAAACGGTTGAACCACGGTCGTACCACAAAATACCATACCAGAAAGGAATCCGGTATGATGTCCGGTACGGTTTCCTTTACCATGGTTGAAGGAAAGAAGAAGGAAGAAAAGAAAGAGTTTGAGAGATAGAGGGGAAGTGACGGCCACTCAAAGGAGTGGGTAGGGTTTTTTCATTGGTTTCTATTAGTTGATATATATATACTAGTGTGGGCCCCCGCCAGTTGGCCGGAGGAAGGTAGGATGGCAATGGGTCGGGTTGGGTTGGGTTTTGCCAAATTCAAATCCAAATTCATGGGTTTATCCGTGAAAAAAATTCGGGGTAAAATCCACTGGGTTTGAAAAACTCAAACCCAACTCAACCCCCTGGGTATCCGCGGGTTCATGGGTACCCACAGGTTTTTGTCATAAAAATTTACAATAACAAATTGCTATCAAAATTAAAGTCAAATATCAATCTCTCAATACAAATTATCCATATATAAAATACCATTCTAGAAAATTCAAGCAAATAACAAATTATCCATAAATAACATGATTAATTGAAAGCTTTTTCCTTTCAATTAAGTTTCTTCACTCTCCACTCGATAACATCAACTTCATTCTACACAATTAGAAAGAAAAAATTAGACATGTCTCCACAAACATAAATAAGATAAGTTGTTTAGAATATTAAATATATCGAGAAAATTAATTATATGGGTGTGGGCGGGTACCCATGGGTCGGGTTTACCTAAACCCAAACCCAACCCGATGAATATTGAACGGGTTTAAACCCAAACCCGGCCCAAAACCCGTCAACACGGATTTTACCCGCGTTGACCGAGTTGGGTAGGGTGGGTACCCGTGGGTTCGGATTTTGTTTTCATCCCTAGAGGAAGGTGAGGTATGAAATTTGATAATGTAATGGGGTGTATAACTTATTGTTGTATAGTTTTTTTGGGAAACACGTGATAAAAATAGTGAATTTTAGCAGGAAAGAGACATTAATGATGCAACAAATCAAAAATCGGCCTTATGAACCAAAATCAAGTACTTGTTACCTTGTGAAACAATATTGTTTCTGGTAATATGATGAGGTGGAGTAAGTTTTATAGAAACTGAATTCCAGAAAATCGAATAAAAAATCGCCTATCCCGTCGGTTTTCGGGAAATGAGCATCTCACAATCGTTGCTAGCTTTTACTCGGCCCGTTGGCCGATTAATTTGGTTTATAAAACTTTCATCTTGTCGTCATTGTGCTTTCTGGTTTTTTTCAGGCTATGATAAAATCTAAGGAAATAAAGAACGAACAACACGATTTGGGATAGGAACCGTCGTTGTCGTATCCCTAGAAAATGGTGGTAAACACGGACTCACCTGCCAAACTGGTTTGGATTGAGATTTTTATCGGGTATCAGGGAACCATGTGATTATAAATTAGACTTGATCAAAAGGGGCCAAAACTTGAAATGCAGCATGTTTGACCGACCCATGCCAAATTCTAATTATTCTTTACTTTTAAACTTTTTATGTGAAAATAAAAAATAGTGAAAGAAAAGAGATGACTGCCATTTGCACATCACTTATTCGGGAATAAAACCATAGAAATTCAAAAGGAACTGAAAATGTTAGGATCGTTTTAATGTTTAAAATAACCAAATAGATCTTTCTGTTTAGTTTTTTACTAACAAATACCAAACGATTCCCTATAAAATACACTATGATTTGATCATTATGATATCAAATAATTATATAATATATATTTGAAATGATAAAAATTGGACCAATTGTGTTGGTCGAGGTTGAACCATTGAATAACTTTAAAATACATTATATTTTAGCCACTAAGATATAAAATAATAGCATAATATATTATGCCAGACAAAATAGCTTGTTTTAGAATGTCAAACCAATGATGTTCATTTGTTTTACTTGATGTCCAAATCCCGTGTAGGTCAAACCAATTCAACTCTTTTATTTTATGGTTAGCGGTTAGCCCATTAGATACCATGCATTAGTTTATTGTTAAATTTTTTATTTTTAGCAATAAAAAGAAGTATTGTTTTTGCCTCTTCATATATATTTTATCACCACGGAGAAATAAAAGGGCTTAATAAAAAAATTGACACTCTTGAACCCGTTTAAATCCGCATGTGTACGGTAAGTTGGCCCGTTTCACAGAGGAAAGAGGAAAAAAATTGACACTCCCTATTCTATCATTCCTACAAAGCCTTTATACCGAATTCTGTGAGGAGCTTCAATGTGTTGACTTGGTGCTTGACCAATGCGAGTCCTCTAGCAAAATACTACTCATGTTTTGGCAGACCACAAATCCCGTGCTTGGTCTACTCGTGTTTCCAAAACTGTTGGTCCTTGGTCGGGGTGGTCAGCACAGGCAATACGCCTTCAGATCCGGCTCCAAGTTAGCTAACCCATGATACATGAGTAAAATGTTATATAATATGATTATGAGTAAGATTCAAAATTATTATATAACATGAGTAAAATGTTATATAATATGAGTAAAATTCATGATTGTTATATTACATGAGCAAGACTCGGAATTATTATATAACATGAGAAAAATGTTATACAATATCAGTAAAATATGAGTAAAATTCATGATTGTTATACAAAATGTTATGTTATTAAATACAAAGTAAACATTAAATACACCACATTAATTACTTGTTTTTTTAAAAAATCTAAACATATACAAAATACAATTCCCTCTCTCATCTTTGATCTTTCTCACTCCTAGGGATGGCAATGGATCGAGTCGGGGACGGATAGTGCATATCCGTTACCCTACCCAAAGTAGTTCTGATTTTACCCATACCCATACCCACATGTGAAACGGATAGAAAATCAAAACCATGCCCATACTCGTTCGGGTTTTGGGTATCCACGGTTATCCATGGATAGTAATTTCTCTTCATAACTCCAACCAATATGTTGAAATTCACAGGTATTCTCACATTACGTAAGAGGAAAAGTACGACAATAATTCACTAGAATGAAGAAAATTAATTAAAATAACACAATTTCATGAAAATATTATACTTATATGCTAAATATAAAATATGTTAGAGAAAAATAATGATTATTTCTATATAAAATACATATGCATGTGTATAATCGGGCGGGTTCGGGTTGGATAGTGAGAAACCCATGCCCACCCATTACCCGCAATATTCAGGTTCGGGTTTTACCCGTACCCACTAAATATCTTTCGGGTTCGGGTTTTACCTTACCCGATTAAGCCGGATTCGTGCGAATATCCACGGTTACGAATATTTTTGCCATCCCTACTCACTCCTATCTCTGATTCTTGTATTTAAATATGATGATTTTTAATTGTGTTTGGAACATTATACTTTATTTATATGAATATAAGTTTTTGAGAATTTGTCTTCAAATATGTTACATATATGTCTAAATTCATTTAGTGTTAATTAGTTCTTACTTTTCTGTATATTCTATTAAAACCAACATGAACTTGTATCAATCAATTGTACCACCGGTCAGTCTTATAAACTGGTTTGTCTGAAGTCAACATTCTCCTTATCTCAAATCACGATCATTTGCTTAATTAACTGTATGCTCTGTACAATGTAAACCCAGCCCTCTTTTCTCTCTCAAATCAATTTCAATCTCTGCTGTTTCAGCTAAACTTTGACTAAGTTGGTAATTGGGTTCCCACCGGAAAGCAGAGACAAAGCGGTTGACTAATTGGGCTAGTATCAATCACCAGCATATGCTTCGCCCTTCGTATAAAGTGGTGTTTCTTAGGATCTTTTCCCAGACTCCCCACATGATTGAAGCAGAGAAATGGTTGAAAAAACTTGACCACTTCTTCAAATTACAGTTTCATTGTAAACAACGAACAGGACTAAGCAGTTCTTTCCGAGAGGAAAGTTAAAACAGGGGAGCAATTAGTTTAGGTTGGCAGTTTGGTGAAACAGCGCTAGTAACTTCACACAGTGCAAGGTGAAAACGAAGGAAATTAGAGCCACAATTACAGCAGAGGATTGTGGAGGGATTAGCGTTAGCAAGTCAAACTTGATCAACTAAGTTAAGTACGTACACACATCAACTGGACTAACCCACATCACATGCCTAACATTCTCTGCTATATAATACATCCTCACACAGCACAAATGTGACACACAACAAGCACCAAATTTAACAGAGCAATGGCTTCCAAGGCAGCTGCAATGATGCTCTTCTTCTTGCTGGCTTGCTTCCTATCTGCCACTTCCACCCAGGTACATTATAGCTACTGGTACTAGCTAGGCTCTTTACTTCTTCATTAGAACAAGGTAATAGTTGACTTAGTTTTGAGTTGTGAACTTGTGATGTAATGTAGGCTGCAGCCAGTTTTCATCACAAGTCCAAGACTCACGCTCCATCCAAGGTCCTTCCAGCTCCTGCTCACGCTCCAATGGCGATGGCTCCTTCGTCTCATGAACACCATCACCATGTCCTTCCTCCACACAAGTCTGAAGAACACCACCACCATCGCCATCATCATCACCATGCGCCAGAGGAGGCACCTGTTAATCACCACGCTCATTCGGAGAAGGCTGAGCACCACCACCACCACCACGTCTACGCTCCAGAGATGGCACCAGCTCCAAAGGAGTCTAAGCACCATCATCGTCATCATCACCACGGCCTTGCTCCGGCTCCGGCGCCTAGGAAGTTCCTTTCTTTTTTTTGGTAGAGCGAGGCTTTTAAGTGCTGTTGTTACATGATGATCAATGATATGATCTGGTGGAAGACTTTGTTGCTGTGGTTTTAGGGAAACAATAAATTAAGAACTTAGAAATACTGATTGCCTTTGTGTCAGTTGGTTGGTCACATACTGTCCTGTTTATTCAGGATAGGTTTGTTTGGTCGTTTTTTCTTATGTTAGAGAGTCTGTGACTGTGATCAGGTAGTGATCGTGGCTCGTGTCTGTGTAAGGAACACTACTGCTTATCATGGTGTTTATCAAAGTGACATGAGTAATAATCATTAATCATCAAGACCTTTATCATGGTCAATTTCCTTGTTGAATATGGTACAATTATGGACACAAACAGGGCAGTGATGGCGTAGGAAAGAACAATATAGATGTTATAATGATTGTAAAATCGTGCTTAAAGTTGTACTGAAAAAGTTAATAATAGGTATATTTTGATTAAATGGTCGTTCAACCGTTAAATACATCTAAAAATACTTATCGATTTACCTTCTAATAAAAAATTGTCTTGATCAGACAACTAATCCGATACAATTTCACAAACACCATTTTTTTCTTCAATTTTTTTTAAAAGGAAACGAAGCAATCGAATAGAAAATAATTAGTTGGTCTTAAATAAACGAAAAGAGGAATACATATTACTGCACATTAATCTTTTTACCAGCGGTAAGTAAACACAACCCTGACCTCCCAAGTAAAAGGGAAATACCCGAGGCTAAAATTCCGATCCGCCGCGAACTCCCCGTTCTTCACCTTGTACGGCACCGAAACCCGCTCCTTTCTCGACGTCATCGGATTATCAATCACCGCATAATCGAAATCGCCGTCGTAATACACCAACATCGTCGTCTCCCCACCACCTTGCACCCTCCGATTCGCCTTGATACACCACCAATTTTCCGCATCAAACTTCCCGTCGGCACTCCACACCTGGACCGCCGGCGGCGGAGGCAACCCACCGCAATCCTCATCCAACAGCCAGAACGCATCGATCGCCTCCTCCTTAAACGACGGCACCCGACACCGCACGGGACTGATCGGCACCGCCGGCGGCGACAGGGCCACAAACGTCGACCTCGCAACCTTCACCCGCCGCCGCCTGATCTTCGCCGGCGCCTCGGAGGCCGAGATCGTGTCGCGGTACCGGTACCTGAAATCGTAGCACCACTTGCGGTACTTCTCCAGATCCCTCTTCGCCGATTCCAGATCTAGGGTTTGCGATTTCAATTGAGTCTTCAATTCCCCCAATTTCTCGTCCTTCTCCTTCAATTGCTTTTTGTAATCGACGATCGCCTCGCTCTTCTCGCCGCTGCGGCAGGGGAATCCGTGGCGGGTGTCCCACAGATTGGCGACTGTAGTTGGCGGAGGGGGTCTAACGGCGCCGTATTGGGACCAGTTGAAGGTGTCGTTTAATCTGAAGAACTGTACCCCAAAAGCCGGGTCAACGAATCCTCCGCCGCCGGCGGATACGTCTATGAAGGTGTTCCCGAGTGGGTTGACGTAGAAATGCGACTGGGAGAGGTCTTCCGCCAGATTCCTTAGGTCCCGTCCTGCGATCTCCTCGTCGAACAGCTTCAGGGCGTCGTATTGATTCTCCTCCAGCTGGTCGCGGCTGCAGGTCGCGATAATTGTGACGAGCTTGCAGTCGGTGGCTCTGACCGCTGACGGCGGTGAGCTTGTTGACGAAATCATCAGCTCGTAGACGTCGATCGTGGTGGAGTCGTATGAAGCGACGAAATGGGTAGTGGAATTGAACTCGAAAGGCGCCATGATCATCACTATCCGGTTTTTAGTTTCAGTTGCTTACCAATTACCTGCAGGGATTTATATCTCTGGACTCTGGGTTCTAGTCTACTAGGAGATTTGGGTTGGATTGAAATCTTTGTCAGACTCTTTAAAACGGACATATTCGATGACTGTTGACCGACGTCCAGGGAAAAGTCAACACACACGGATCAGCTACGTGATTATGACCGCATTATACTAAAATTTGTCAACTAACGCGTGATGATGTAAAGAATGCTAAAGACCATCTTCGTCTTGAACCAGATTAGTCGATGTAATGCGGATAATTAATAAATGATTAAAGGTATAGTATGTACGAAATTAGCAGGTAATTGTGATGAAATGACGAATGAAGTGGAGTGGGCTGATTATATTTTGATTTACGTACATGTACACTATGATATCGTCACCGGACGTGTATGAGAGAGAATTGTCAGAGCTTTGACGGGGAAAATTACGGATTTCTCTTCTCTTCTTTCTCCGTGTGATCCATCAAATGTGCCAGGTCAACCGTACATTTGCTTAATTGCTAAGCCGGCAGAGTAAATATGATAATTAAAACACGTCAAAGTTTAAGGACAAAAGTTTCGTCATCAAATATGATTAAGGTCTTTAGGATTTGGATTTAACTCCTCTCCTCACTTCTGAGCTAATACAGTTCGAATAAACTTACAGATACATTCAGATTTAACTTGCAATTTACTGGCGTTCATCGTGGAAGCGTCTTCGATTTATATATTTGACATATTTATTGTTTTATGACGGTTGCCTTGTCACACTTAATGTGTTTTGGTTTGCATGGTGTCATGCATGGTTAAAAAAGGCGTGTTTATAAATTTACGTTTAGGAATTACCTAGACTTTAGAAAACATGCATTCACCAAAACGTCTCGTCTAGGGGTTTCGTAGGGTGTTCAGAATCCAAAACGTGGTGGCCAAGTACAACGACACCTAAATATAATTAGCCTGAGCTAAGTAGTCAAATATCAAAATGAGAAAATTGATCGTATCTACAAATGCTAATTTCTCATCTTAAGAACCTTGCCAGCTATTGAGCTATCATGCTATAAATTTTTGAGCTATTTTTCTTATTATCAAGTGTTTCTTATGTTATTAACCATTGAAAGTAATATACAAATACAAGTGTTGTAAAAAAAAAAAAAACTATTTCATTCATCGTATAGTGCTAACTGCTATTTGCTTATTTTGCTTCTAGCACCTAGGCATGTTTATGCAACATCTAAACACGCTTATATAACGTTTAGACAAACTAGTCACTGGATATATAAGATCTTAATATCTATCTTACGCCTAATGCTTTCTGAAACTATGATATCATGTGACCTACGTAGATTGCCGTATAGTTGTTCTCTAGCAATTAATGATGCTAATCTAGTTATGGACAGTTTCTTGGTTTGTGATTGTCTTGGATTGATTTTTCTTCGTATAGTTCTTAGGGCCGCAAATACGACAGCATAAAAATTGACATTTGACACGAAGTGTGTTATTTCTATGGCTTGTTGATGTAGATAAGCAAAATTCAACATGGGAATTTTCTTCTAGAACATCAAAGAATATTGCTGTTGAAGTTCAAAAGTTTGACCATTTTATACAGTCAAGGACAGTTTGAACAAGCAGAAAAATTTTCCGGTTTGAAATTGCATTCTAGTTAGTCCTTATACTTTCGATCTCACACATTTAAGCCCTTTTTTTTTAATTTTCCCTCCCGCTAATTATCCGCGTAATTCTGAAATGTATATATGCATTGAATTGAACGCACAAAATCAACACAAACATCTCATCAATCTTTCTCCACAACCACAACCAAAGCAAGCAAAATGAGGATGGCTCCCTTCGAATTGAAGTCCCGAAACCTCTTCATCTCCTCGTCCGACAACGCCACCATAGACATCTACTCCCTAACCAGCGCCGACGACGAAAACGCCGCCATTAGTACCGACACATCCACCATCACATCCGACGACTGGAACCTCGTGGCCTCCGCCGGACCCCTGGCCAGAACCTACGATTCCCTCAAGGTGTTCGACAAAATTATCAAAGGCCGGCCGCTCAGAAATCTCGCCGAAGATCTCACCCAGTCCCACCTCTTGGTCAACGTCGAAGGCCTCTGCTTCCTCGACGTCACCAGCTACGTCAACCCAATCCTCGGCTTCCACTACTTCCGCCTCCAGGATCTATTCCTCTGGTCCCGCCACGTGGGAGGGGAAAACGTTACAACAACCACCGTGTGGAACCCACGCGACATCGTCTACGGCAACGTGGCGGTCGATTACGCCGGTCGGATCGCTGACAAGGACGCCGAGCTGGAAACGTTGACCCGCCACGTGGACGATGCGGAGGTCCAGCTCGTGGTCACGAGGGGCGAGCTCGATTACTACCGGAAGCACTACTGGGGAGCGACTCAGTCGTCCCAGCTCGCCGTCGCCGACGTCGGAGCCATTGAGAGGAGGCGCCGGCCGCTGCCTCCGGCTACTTTTTCCCGGGGCGGGGATAGCGGGAAGCTGCGGGTTCCGTCGTTGGACGGGAAGGCGGTGGATGATTTTGTGGTGATTGACGACGGCGGCGACGATGTGGGGCCGGCGCCGGAGTTTAAGGTGGGGTGGGAGGCGGCGAAGGGAGGGAAGTTCGACACGTGCGATTGGTGGTACGTGCGGACGAGCGACCCGGACGGAGGGTCAACGATGGTGGCGTACTACGACGGCGGGTTTGACCATGTGGAGTTTTACAATGGGAAGACGGGGAGGAAAGAGCGGGTGGCGGTGCCTTGTGCGGTGGACGGCAGCTTTAGGGCCACCAGGCATCTCAGGCTGGCTACTTTGTCGTCGTTGCAGTTGAGGGTTGTATTTAGTTACATCCCCCCTATCCATTTGAGAAATAAGAGTGCGCCATTGTTTGTTTCGTATTGAGCTTTAGTTTTGAACGGTAATTATATGACCTAATTTGTCAGTTCAATTGATTAAGTTATAGACTAGATAGTAACAAGAACGTTACAAGTTACAACTTTGATATTGTTTTTATTTCTCGATATACTATTTTAGTAAACAACCCTGCAATTATACATTTACTGATTGTGATTAATACTCCAATCGAGAAGAGCCTAATCGAGTCGAGTTTTCATTTGGTTTGAGCTCAACTCGTGATTTGAACTATCTGGGTATATTATCAAATCAACTCGTGATTTGAGCCCACCAGGTCAAACCAACTCAAAACTCCAACTAGCTGAGCAGGGGCAAACTTATTCTTGGTTGTTTTCGTAATAAACAAGTTCAAGAGCAAGTTATTCTGGATCTCAACTCCAATTGACGTGCCAGCAATTCTATTAATCTGCCGCCCTTGAAAGCAAGTATGGGGTTTATTTTATTGAGTACAAGTTTGGGCTTGGGCCTTGAGCAAAATTGTCGGGTATGGGCCCTTTGCCATTTATATGCTTACCCCATGGCCTTGATTGAATCCTTCCGTGGGCTTTTCGTTGAAAAATCCAAGAGCTCAAAGGTTTTGCACATCGTAATTTTTGACTTTGCCATTCTTGAGATGTGTGTCACTGTGTCTCCAACTTTGATGAGAGGCCTTGGAAGAAGCGGCCAGCTGGTTATAACATTCAACACGTGATCACATCGGTAACTAACAACTCTAACCATAAACAAGTATGTGCGAATTACTATTCTCTCATTAGCAACAGTGCTTTCGTTAAAAAAAGAATTATAATCCAACAATTTCAGCCATTAGATGTAAAGAAAGGGTTGCACTAGCCAATTTGCAGTGTGAAAAAGAGAAGTTAAGGAATATTAATGATCGAGAGTACAGTAAATATAGTTATGGGGGCAGCCATTTCTGAGGCATTCATACATTAATTACAAGTCAAGATCACATATTATAGTATTTAGATATCTTATGGGGGCAGAACCAAATAATATCGTCAGAACCAAAAAAATAGTATTTAGATTGCCTGCACTGCAGTCAACCAAAGGAACGAATCTAGCTATATATATAGTTGACCGCCAAGACTAGACTGCAGCTGCTACTCGATTCGAGGATTTTCATGTGCGATATATTAATTGGACGAAGCAGCAAGTGATGGCGTTGACATGCATGAAAACTCTGCAACGGGTGAATACTATAGATAATGGTGTGTGAACTACTGAGAAGTCAAACCGGCTAGCTAGCATATGAACAGAACACTGCACAAACAATGCAGCCAAAAGTGGCGGATTGACTGCCACGCGCACGCTATAGCTTCATTCCTGTCGCTAATAATAGGCTCTACCTTCCCCAGATGATGAGTTGATTGCTTATTAGGGTTTTGGAGGTTAGCTTCCTGGAAGCACATCATCACTACAACAGATGATGGTCTCTTTCCACTTGTGATTGTCGGGTATCAAATCATACTGGTAACTCAAGGCGTTTTGGAAAATTTCGACATTGAATTTATACATGTTAGCAAATCATAAGCAGTTAAGTATTTTTTTTTTTTTCAAAAATAGCATTGTTTAAAAAATTTACAAAAATAGCATTTAGTCTCAAAAAATTCTAAAAATAGCACCCTTTCTCGAAAACCGTCATTCCACTCCGCGGTATACACGAAAACCGCATGGTTACGGTGCAGTTTTGAAAATCGCTCGGGGTGGGGGCATTTTGGTCCAAAACTACTGCCCAACCCTACGGTTTGTGCTTAATTTTTTTTCCCGAAAAATCCTATCCTAGGTGAAAACTTTAAACGAACGTATCTTTCTGTTTGGGTATCCGATCGTCGCGAATTTTTTTTTATTTCGCAAAACTTTTCGAGATCTTGCAAGTCGCAAACCCCGCCTTCGTCCCGAAAAAATATCGTTTGCTGCCCGAACGAGCTTTTTTCCGATTTCGCCAAAGTTTGGGTGGCCATAACTTTGTGCTCCAAAATCCGAACGTCATGAATTTTTTTTATCATTTCGCATAACTTTTTAAGGACTGCAACTTTTATCATAGACATAATTTCGGAATGTACATAGATTTGTGAAAAGGGAAGGTAACGTTATTCCCAAAATCCTGTATATCCAATAATAACTCCTGTTTTGAAAATTTCTTCCTAGTAAAAATTGTAGTTCTTCAAAAGTTATGCGAAATGAAGAAAAAAAATCATGACATTCGGAGGAGTATGAATTGCTTGATTTTTTACGGAACCACCATATCATGAGCTAAAAATCAACCGTTAATATTGGAGGTTCTTCGAACACGTAACTCTAGTACTCTTTTGTCAAGAAACAATTGATTTTAATAACTAACTCGGAGACCAAAAATAGCCTCTATACCAACCTATTATAATTTTCTTCTGGATGGTTATAATTTAACACTTATCAGGTCTATCGCTTAGAGCACTTTGTCGCCGGTACTAATACCAGTAAATAATCATAATTGAACTTGTGGTTTCAAAACATTTGTAAATTGTAACCAATAGTTATTTGGTGTACAGAATTATTCAGATTAGATTACGTAGTATCAAATTTTTTGTCCTGTAATTTTTAATATGTTTGGTTGTGGTACTCTAACTTTGAGTATCATATTCATTGCCAAACTTAGTATCATTAAATTCAATTACTCTAAGGGAAAGTCGTGATATATAAGGGTCTCCCTTCCCTAGGCAGAAGCTGAGCAAGTAGCTTGACAGAAGGTTACGTAAAAAATTGTGCATCGAGCTAGCAAAACTAATATAACCACAATTAAGACTAGACCTCGGATCACCAATTCCGGCCACGAAGCTGCAATCTGTCCCGGATCCAGACGAGACTAAACCCCATCCATTCATAATTTCATATAATATAATCCTCTCACACAGTTCTCTAAGTATATTAAAAATATTCGGCATGAATGCCAACTTGCAATCTTGCATGCAGTTTAGGGTTTTCTTTTGCTTGAGATTCCGCGCTTAGACTACTCTGGATCAATCTCCCACAATGCCTATAAATACCTTCCTCCTTTTCTCCGTCATTCATCACTCACTCAACAAAGCAAAGACAGCAGTAGCATAGCAGCTAGTGGAAGTAAAATAAATGGCTCTCATCAAGGCTGCCTGCTTCCTGTTCTTCTTTGCTCTCCTCGATTCTTATGTACGAAGAGCAGTTCCCCCATTTCTACTCATTATTGGCCGTTCACTATTCTTCTTCTTGTTCTTCTTCGATACATGAATAATATATATATACTCACTATGATCGTATCTCGAGCGCCATTATATTATTTAATGGGGCATGTCTTTCCTTTCTTCTCAGTCAACTAAATGTATTCCTTTGTGGTTTTTTGCAGGTTTCAGCTGTTGCTCCCACAACAGCTCCGGCGACTGTCGCTCCTACCCATGCTCCGGTAGCACATGCCCCAATGGCACCCGTATCTGGAAACTGTACGTCAGTCTTACATATCTTACTACCAAAAACCTTTCTTGGTCGCAAAATTAAAAGGCTTATGTAATATTTAACAAATGGTACTGTTGTGGCCGGGTGCAGATTGTGTGGCGAAGTGCCAAGACAGGTGCAAGACTCACCCGTCTGCCAAGAGGTTCTGCCAGAAGATCTGCACCAGGTGCTGCATGAGCTGCAAGTGTGTTCCCACCGGTCCAATCGGCTCCAACGCTGAGCAGTGCAAGAACTGGACCGCTACTCTCTACCATGGCGTTCCTTACAAGTGCCCTTAATTAAAGATGCTACTACTATTTCACATGTCATCAAAAACTTATACGGCCTTTAGTTTTCCATTTCGAGTGTTCAAATTTATAGCTAAGTAGTTCGTTTTGAAGTCTCCATCGACTTTGATATTCGGATTCTAATAAAAGCAATATACATATATATATGCAGTAGTAGTCCACTGAATGTTTTCTAGCATCAATTGTTGTTAGGCCATGTCGTTTCATTTCATATTCTGTTTTCTGTAATTTGACTTCATTGCAATGGGAATAAAGAATTTTAATTTATAGTTGCAAACTCTCTGTTTCCATGGCCAAATAAATGTCTTCTTCCTCAATGTACGTAGGATATTATGACCTGTATTCGTTTCATTTACCACCTATTTGAATTTTATATTAAAAATCAATTATGATATTAGTAGACTAAACCCTCTTTCACGAATCATATGATATATATTTGAAGCTAATGCAAATGCAGACCAAAAGTTATGCTAAAAAAGCACTCTGTTTCCAAACTTTTAGCAATTAGCAGTAGTGTTTTGTGAACGGAAGTCAAGATAATGTAAATTAGCCTGTGGGCACCGACAATTTTGCTAAACCATGAGGGGAAGAATAGAACGACGTATTGAAACTGACGAGGTAGAGTGCTCACATGGTGAAGTATGAAAAGAAGAGCAATGGTGTAGTTTAATTACCAGCTGACAATCTACTTCAAACTGTATTGACTAACCACTCGTCAGTTGCCATTGATAATCACAATGGGTGAAAAATAATAATTTTCAGTGTGAAACATAGCGCCGGCTGCATGGAAGCAAAATAAGGTGGGCCTGGATTTTCATCTCCTCCTCGGATGAATGGATAAAGAAGATGCGCTCAGCCCATATTTCTGCGCAGAATTGGGCCTGCTTGGAAAATATTAGTGAAAGGAGCCAGCTGTTGTTATTTTAATTGGATTTGATCACTAACTTTATTATTTTGTTTTTATGTTTGTCAATAGAAAATTTTAATTGCATCAATAGTCACTAGCTAACTATGTATTCTCATTTCAATATTAGTTACTCCCCATAAAATTTCATAAATTTAACTTTATGAAAATACAACTTTTATTAGTAAGATTGATTATTGCAAAATATTAGTGGGATATTTTATACTTATATGTATTTAATTAAATACTTTTAATATGTATTTTTTACACGATGTAGAAAGGATCTGATTTAATCTCCCACAACGGCTATAAATAGGATCCTCTGATCCCTTCACCACTATTCATCACTCAGTGCAACAAAGTAAAAGAGAGAAGAAGTAGAAATTAAACATGGCTCTCGTCAAAGCAGCTGCATGCTTCCTATTCTTCTTTGTCATCCTCGATCCCTATGTACGAGTCCGTTCCCACTTCCCTCCCATAGAAGCAATTAATTTCATAGCTACATATAGTTTGTATTATTATTATTGTATATTTTAATTCCTTTCTAGTTTCTTCTCGACTACGTACGTGCACTCCATTTTGGTTGCAGGTTTCAATAGTGGTTGCTCGTACAACATTTCCGGCGGCGACTATGGCTCCGGCCCCTTCTCCAATCATCACCACACCAGAGTACGCCAGCCCTGCAACACCTCCGGCCACTTTTGCACCGGCTGAACCTCCGATAATCATCGCAGCAGCAGAGGACGCCCCTGAAGCTCCGGTACCAGATGCCGCATTGCCACCCGCAACTAATTAATATCCCATTTCTACTTAATTACTGGGCGCTTATGTGTACGTGTTCAATAATACCATTGCCTACTTCATGTGTACGTTCACTGTTAAGTACGTTGTAAGTCTCTATCGATCGGCTTCGATGGATCTTTGGTGTTCTAATAAAAAAGCTTATGTATGCTGCAGCCAGCTCCTGCTGATTGTATTAATTGATTGGTAGTCCGATCCATCATGTTTCACTTTGGTTTATGTAACGTGGCTGGCTGTATTGTCTACTTAGATAAAAGGTTGTTATAGTATGATCAGTATCGTCTGAATAAAAGGCTGCTTTAGTTTTGCAAACTCTGTCTTAATTCTCCCTCTTTCTCTCTTAATTGTAATTTCTATATATCGAGTATCAGGAAACCCCAATTGAAAATCGAATTTCAATTCCAACAGCTAATCCATCCATGAAGAAGATGTCTATTCCAACGCAGTTGTAGTCCTTAAAAATTTATGCGAAATAATAATAAATAAAATCATGACCTTCGGATTGCGAAGCACAAAGTTATGGCCTGTCAAAGCTTGGAAGAATCGAAAATTGCTCGTTCGGGGTAGCAAACGACGTCTTTTCGGGACGAAAGCGGGACCATGACGCCTTTGAATGTTAACGGATTGCAAGATCTCGAAAAATTATGCGGAATCGAAAAAAATATCGTTACGACCGAATAACGGAGCGCAAAGTTACGTCTGTTTGAAGTTTCAGCACAGGTCAGTCCTTCACCGCGGCTGACAGCAACGGTGATGCATTCACTGCTGTCCTCTCCCGCAGTGATGCATTCACTTCTGTCCTCTCCCACAGTGATGCATTTCACTGCGTTTGTCAACTGCGGTGATGCCCAAACATGTGTATATTGGAAATTTTTCATAAAACCTGTGTATTTTGGGATTTTTTTTAAATAGAACGTGTGTATTCTGGGATTTTTTCCCCAGGTTTGGGTGGGCGCGGTTACTTACATACAATTTTGCACCATGGCTTTAAAATTATAATCATCTTCGTAAAACAAAATTATGTGGTGTTGTAATATGTGATATAAAAAATCCAAAACCAGCCAGTATGTGGTTCGAAGAAAACCAGCCCACACCATATTTTTTTTGTTGAATTCCACCGCAACATCTTCGAACAATTATGTATAAAATATGTAATCTAAAAAATTTATTCGAATGTCATTCTAAATTGAAGTTTCTTTGTCAGATTGTTTGTAAACGGGAAGAAAATGAACAAAATTTGAGATCTAAGAGATAATTATAATAAATTCCAGAAACGAAGCATCACCTAAAAATTGGTCGGTGACCTAACTATTTTTTTTTTTTTTGACAATGGTGACCTAACTAATTAAATACTAGTTGTCCTATTCTGGCCTGCCGAATGAGTTAAGTGCTTATGGCCAAACATATACCAACATTCCACCACCTAGGATGGCAACGGGTTTGGATGGGGCGACCGCTGTTTCAATATTATAATTCCAGAAACGAAGCATCACCTAAAAATTGGTCGGTGACCTAACTAATTAAATACAAGTTGTCCTATCCTCACCTAGGGGTGTGCAATGGTCCGGTCCGTACCGGACCACACCGGACCAAACCGTTGTTAAGACCGGACCGGACCAGACCGAGTAAAATACGGTCCGGTCCTTGGTCCTAATGAATTTTATAATTACTGAAGAAATGGTGGACCGAGCTCATATTTGGACCGGACCGAACCGGACCAAATGGACCGAATGCAAGAATGGTCCGGTCCTTGGTCCTAACATGTCTTTCACTAATGGACCGCGGTTCTCATGAGTTTGGTCCGGTCCGGACCGAACCGAACCGTTGCACACCCCTATCCTCACCTGCCGAATGAGTTAAGTGCTTATGGCCAAACATATACCAACATTCCACCACCTAGGATGGCAACGGGTTTGGATGGGGCGACTGATAGACCGTTAATTACACATGTTTTTACCCCTGTTCTTACACCGTTTGAGGTGTTGATTCTCGCGGTTTCAATATTATAATTCCAGAAACGAAGCATCACCTAAAAATTGGTCGGTGACCTAACTAATTAAATACAAGTTGTCCTATCCTCGCCTGCCGAATGAGTTAAGTGCTTATGGCCAAACATATACCAACATTCCACCACCTAGGATGGCTACGGGTTTGGATGGGGCGACCGCGGTTTCAATATTATAATCATCTTCGTTATCAAAACTGTGTGGTGATGTAATATAATATATAAAAAATCCATAACCAATTATGTATAAATTTCACCAACAACCAGTATGTAGTTCACAGAAAACCCACCCGCATCATTTTTTTTCCGTTGAATTTCACCCTCACCATCCCCGAACAATTATGTATAACATTTGTGATATAATCTAAAAAAATTCTTCGAATGTCAATGTAAATTGAAGTTTTTTGTCACATTGTTTGTAATATGGAGAGAAAATTAACAAGATTTGAGGTCTAAGAGATAATTATAATTTTCTAGAGATATAAATAAACGAAAGGTTAAAGTGAATGAGTTTAGAATATAGTTATAGCACATATTTGGATAGTTCGGTATAAATATTTAAAATATAAAAATCGTATCAAACCCATTACCCTATTTGTCGGGTTTGGAGAAATCCACAAAAATCCATTTCAATGAGGTTAAATACCCAATGGTTTATTTTGCTATCCTATGATCATATCCCAACCCAACCCAAGATGTATGCGCTTATATATATAATGTGATCTATATGTATTAACATATGGGCACTGTCCTAAAAAAAACAACTGAAAATTCAGTAAACTAACTGCGCGCCATGGCTGATGCTTTCCTCATCAGTTCCCCGGTCAACAGAGACGACCAATTTTCCGGCCGATGGCTGATCACTTCAGCAACCATCGGAGTTATACTAGTCGGAATTTGGTACTTCGTATCGAGAATGGTCAAAGGATTGAAATCACGAGGAGCAACAGCTGCTTCTTCTCTGCCTCCGGGGCCTCGCGGCTTGCCGATTGTTGGCTACATCCCATTTCTCATGTACAACGGGAAGAACATTCCACTTCACCGGCAATTCACCCACCTCGCGGCCCAATACGGGCCCATCTTCAAGATCCGGGTCGGCAGCCAACTCCACGTCGTGGTCAGCTCGCCGTCCCTGGCGAAACAGGTCCTTCGGGACAAGGAATCGGCCTTCTCGAGCCGCAACCTCCCGCTAGCCATCCGAATTTGGACCTACGGTGGGCTGGACCTCTCTTGCCTGCCAATGAGCCAAGACTGGAACTCGATGCGGAAAGTGGTGCTAAGGGAAGTGCTAAGCAACCCTAGTTTGGACCGCTGCTACGAACTGAGACGAAGGGAGGTGGTGAAGGCGCTCAGGGAATTAGTTAGGAGCGGTGCACGCAAGCCGGTTGGCGTGTTGGAGTTGGCGAATAAGATGGTTGCGGATGCGACTATGGCGATGACGTGGGGAGGAAGGGATCATGGTGACGTTGACAACGAGGAGGCTCGACGATTGTGTGAAGAGGCGATGGCGCTGATGGAGAAGCCGAACGTCTCCGACGTGTTCCCAGTTCTTGCGAGGTTTGATCTTCAAGGGATCGGGAGGAGAGCGGCCGAGGTGGCTGGACGGTTCGACCGGATCATTACCTCCGTGATTCAGAAACGTTTCGATGGTAAAGGGTCGTTAATTATGGAGCGTAAAGAGGACGGCCGAGAGGTGAAGGATTTGTTGCAGGTTTTGCTGGAGAATAGGGAAAGGTCGTCTGATGCGGGATCGCCGCTGGCGTCCATCACCCAATTCAAAGCCCTCCTTCTGGTATTGTTCATTTGCATGTGGATTGTAATGTAATATGATAACTCGAGTTATTGAAATATGTTTAATAATAGATCTTATACTATATGCTAATATCGTAATGCGTTTTTTCAAGTAAAAGTCATCATATAGTTTTGAAGTTTGCAGAAGCTTTAGATATCAAGTGTTTATCAAGATTGAAACAAATGTCCCACCAAAGCTCTCAAAATAACTCGAGTTATTGATAACATTCCATCCATACATGTTTAATTGACAGGACATTACGCCGGGCGGGATGGGAATGGTAGCAACCGTAATCGAGTGGGCGATGACGGAGCTACTAAGGTGCGACAAGGCAATGACAAACGTGAAACGGGAGCTAGACGACGTCGTAGGGTTGGAAAACCTAGTTGAAGACCACCACTTGAAGGAGCTGAAATACCTGGACGCCGTGGTGAAGGAGACGTTCCGGCTGCACCTGACTGTCATCCAACGAGAAGCGGTCCAGCCGTGTAGCAGCGGCGGGTACGCTATCCCGAAGAAGGCAAAAGTGATGGTCAACGCTTGGGCCATCCACATAGATCCGCGGCTGTGGGAAGAGCCTACGGAGTTCCGGCCGGAGAGGTTTCTGGACAGCAGCAGGAGGCCTCTTGATTTCGTGGGCAGCAACAGCGACTTCGTGTATATCCCGTTCGGGTCGGGTCGGCGGATGTGCGTCGGGGTTAATTTGGCTACGAGGCTGCTCAAGTACGTGCTGGCTTCGCTGCTACATTCGTTCGACTGGAAGCTCCCGGCCGGCGAAGGAGGGTCGACGGTGGATGTTTCGGATGAGTTCACGTTGATCATCAAGAAGAAGAAGCCACTGACTATTGTGCCCACGCCTCGGCTCTCTTTTCCGGATCTGCATGCCTAATATGTGCATAACTACTACTACTAGCTAGACATGCACTGGATTTACACTTGTACGGTTGTAACCCTATACCGCTGGTCAAACTGTTCAAATATAGAGACCAAAGTGTAATTGTAGTTAGGGTTTGTTATAGCAAACCTATAAATATAGTTGTAAACTGTATCAAAGGTATTACGAAATATCGTTGTAACCTACTATATATGATATCATATCAAGAATCAACTAGTCTCAATAATTCGACTTGTTAGAAGAGGTTTAATAATGAAATTTTATATCATATACTAACACACCGGCATTTTTAAAGGTGACTCCCATTTTGCTAAAGCATAAGTGGAAGAGTGCATTATATAAAACAAACAGTTGGAATGGCCATACACGAAGTAGTATGAAAGGAAAGAAGCAATGTTTGCTTAGCCTTACCATAGCGATCAGTCGAATCAGAAATACTGGATACCGGATTCAAAATAGAAATCGATTTTAGTAATAGAAAAATGGCTGAAACACAATTAAATTACCATTGAATACACAATGTACGTACTATTACTAATTATTTCAGTATAATCTCTTGTACGGTTTTAAACGCGTCTATCTATAACCCACATACTATTCTCTATAGTTTGTCAATATCGAGACATTCATCATGAACAAAGATAATTAAATTGTTTCTCTCTGTGAATAACGTACGAAATAATAAATTGTTAGGCGGCAAAATTTGTCCTAAATAAAACAAAGAACAATGGCGTTAACATGAAACTTGTGGAGTCAAATCGTTGGGCTTGTACTTGTGGTGGGCTGAAGTCGGCCAGTAACCTAATAAGATAAATCATGCCATGCATGCAGAGTAGTTGACTAATAACCTAACTAAATAAGTACGTGCTTAGCGTCTGATTATATCGCTTAATGAAGGTCATAAATTAATGGATGATAATCAATTCTTCGTAATGTTTTAAAATTCAAGTAATGTTTTAACTTTTAAGAATGGATACTATAATTATATTTTCTGACAATTGTATTCCTCACTTTTCTAGAATTTTGTTACCAGATCAAATGACGTGAGCTTCCATATATATAGCATAATATAGAGAAACCTTGACCTTAGATTCCATGAACCTTTTAATACACAATTGCATAACCAAAATTTATTCATTTGTACTCGCCCTAAATTCATAGATGGCGGGAGGTCCATGTCCTTAATTTTTATGTTGTTTATCGTCCATGTCCATAAATTTGGCAAAAGAATATTTGACCCTTGGCAACGTACTAGACTTCTTTTCCATACCAATAGTCAACTTTGTATAAAATTTGGATTAGCTTTGTACTAGAGGAGAAACTGTATTATATTTTACATTTCTTTTATAATATTAAAACACAATATATTTGTTTTCATAGAAAGAAGGTATCGGTTCGTTACTTTTCAAGATTATTTTTTTGTTAGTGATATAGAGTATCAATTTTCTTATATCTATTAGTCAATATATTGTATGATTTCTAGTATCAATTTTTATTACTATGCATTCTCAAGTTTAAGATATATGCATGTTAGGTTATTTCTAGTATTAGTTAATTAGTTTGTATTACAGATTGTTGTTGCTTTTCACCTGAGGTTTTGGTATTTATATATTGGGTGGTTTTATTATCATATTGATTTTTATTAGCATTGATTTTGAAAATTTTGTGGTATCGTTTAGGCAATTTTCTCATATACATGCATTTTCTTACCATCAACCAGTCACCAAAATATGTTGCCGTTGCATGAACCCGGTGGAAGAAATTTGGCAGCCAACAGTCAAGTAATTTAAAAATTAAGCTACTTAAATTTTTCTAGTCTGAATCTATCAAATTAATATAAAACTTTATATATGTACTTTCACAACTAATGGCTATCTATTGAGTGAAACATGATCGTAACAATTAGCAAAGAGGTGAGATATAACATGTTTTGTTCTACAACCCTATATATAGCATATCCTCCCTTCGCCATTATTCATCACTCACTCAAACAAATTAAAGTAATAAAGAGAGAAAGTAAGGTAGTTGGCAGTATAATATGGCTCCCATCGTCAGGGCTGCCTGCTGCTTCCTATTGTTCCTTGCCATCCTCCAATATTCCCATGTATGCATGATCAGTTCCAATAACTTAATTATTGGGCACTTCGATCCACTGTTCTTGTTGTTGTCCATGCTTCTTTACTTACTTGACTTAGCTTCCTTTCTTTCTCAACTATGGAAGTACTTTTGTCTCAACTTTTTTTTTTGTTGATTTCAGGTCTCAGCCGTTACGGATCCCGCCCATCCTCCCAAGATGGCGGCCGCCCCTGCCCCAACGCCATCCAATATTCTTGAAATCTGTACGTCCATTTAACACCGACCTCTCTCAGCTTGTTGAGACCACCAAAAATGGTCCCCGCGAGAAGCAAACCAAATGACTGCTAATCAAAACATTAATCAGGGCAACGATCTATTACTGATCTTTGGCGACCATTTTCTTTTCATCACAAACACATGCACTCTTTTATCGACGTTCATTTCATTTGTTTGGGGTGTATGCAGATTGCAAGGCGAAGTGCAAAGAGAGGTGCGAGCTGGTCGGGCCTTTTGGGATCAAGTTGTGGCAGGAGGTGTGCACAAAGTGTTGCTTGAGGAGCAAGTGCGTTCCAACCGGCCCGGTAGGGATCAACTTTGGCAAGTGCAAGAACTGGACCTTTACTCTCTACCGTGGCATCCCTTACAAGTGCCCTTAAAACACACACATTCCATATAATAATAATGCTAATTACTTATATGTATCCCTTATTATTATACGTACTATGATAGCCTGCCTGCCTCATACAAACTTCAGTTTACCCCTTCGTCTGCTCAATAAAAGCATATCTATATATGCAGTCCACTAAAGTATTCATGCACGCTAGGCTATTATGTTTCGCTTCTGGTTTATGTACAACTTGTCTCTATTGATGTCCATCTGAATAAAAAGTAAGGTCGACTTATATAGTTGTCAAGTCTTCGATCTCGTGATCAAATACAATTCTACTAGCCCAACGATATCACAAGAATATTATATTATATTTTCAGGGTGTTCGGATTTGAGTGTCACGAAGTACTAGCTACTTTTATCTCCTTCTTAATGAGTTTAAATAGTAGTCATGTAATTTTATTCATCTGTCTACCGTCAATATTTTTCAAGAATTATGTGAAGGAAGTACAATTGCATTGAAGTCTAATTATTCCCGGCCCAATGGAGAGAAAGGGGTGGGCTGGCCAGGAGAATTGATTAAGAGGCCGGGCTGAGCCCGTGTTGTAATGCTGAGTTGGGCCATGGGCGGGTTCGATCGTTCGTGACGGGGATGTGCCTAGGTTGGCTTGGCTCCAGATTCATTCACATACAAAAGTTTGACCAGTTTGAATTGAGCATGTGATCACACATGTGTTGCAGGGGAAGGGTATCTCACTGACTGATGATGCTGATGAACAGAGCAAATGGGTGAATGAATAATGACGACGATGATGATGCAGGCACAGCACAGCACAGGCACATAGCTACTTATTTCATTACTACATTTATCATCTTCTTTCACCTCACCTCCTTACATATATGTCTTTCATGAACACACAGCACAGGTAGGTGGCACAGCTGGAGTGAGTCGTTCTCGAATTGGCTAACCTGTGAAATGCTCTGTTTCAACGACACACACAACAACGTTGCATTTTGGCTCCTTTTCTGCCTCGCCGGAAAAATGGCAAGGTTTAATTTATCCCGTTTGAATGCTAGGATTGATATATATGTACTATATAGGATTTGTAGTATGATGAAAATTAACATATCCCGTTTGAATGTTAACGATAACGAGCTTAATTTTGGATTTGTAGTATGATGAAAATTAACGTAAGGATAAGCATGACTATTTAAATCATTGGGGGTGAAACTTAGGGAGTAGAGAGAGGGGCAAAGGGTAATATTGCACTAGTAAGGATTGTAAAACTTGAGGTTGTATCGGAAAAGTCAATATTATAATATTTTATGTTAAAATTATTGTTTAACTATAACTTTAATTACTGTCTAATGATTTAATTTTAAATAAAAAAAATTTCATCAAATCGTCGGTACAATAAGATTTTCCAATTCTTTAAAGGCTCATTTGCTAATGGGATTTGGATGTTGTATTTAGGGGTCGTTTGCTTGTCGGATTTGAAAAATGAGGGTTTTGGCCAATAAAAATCTTGGGATTTATGTTGGATTTATTGAATTATGGATTTGAAGAGTCTAATGTTTGAATGATAGATTTGATGATGGATTTGTGATGGGGTTGTTTAATAAATAACTAACCATCAAGGATTTGCAAATCCGAAATCAATATGTGGGATTTACAAGTCCGTGGGGTCCACGGATTTGGTTCCAAAATAAAGACCAAATCCGTGGACCCCACGGATTTAGCACCCTTCAACAAACAATGGACTTATGTTAAATCCATCAAGATTGGGATTTAGGTACCAAATCCATGACCCAAATCCAACAAGCAAACGACCCCTTAGTCTCCAAATACAAACCATCATGTTTTTTGTTCAAAGTCATTGTTTGTTAAGGTAGGCAAATTTGTGGGCCCATGGATTTGGGCATTTTTTTTAGTTCCAAATCCGTGGACCTCACGTATTTGCAAATATCACATTTCTTTTTGTATTTGCAAATACCACATTATGGAAGACAATTTTTTGAGAACCAAATACCAAATGAACTAAATTCATGATAAAAATTCAACTAAACAAACAATGTTATCTTTCAAATACATAATTGAACAAATTTATCATAAATCCAAAGATTTTCAAAACTCAAAACCTTCATTTTCAATCCAACAAACAAACGATACCTAGGCACAACAATGGAGAGAGAGACCATGTGGGTTGGAACCTCAGAAGTCAGAGTTGTAGACTACTGCTCGTGCTGGGCCATGACTCATGTTCCCCTGCACTCCATCCCACTCTTGTCTAATGTATTAAAGCAGCTGCTTGCCTGACTGCTTCACCCCAAAAAAATATAACAAAGCAGCTGGCAATCTTCTTCTTTTGCACAACCTATCATAGCTTCCCAGTAAAAAAGATGTTTTCAATTTGTCACCGTCACCGACCAACATTAAACTCCATTCAATAATAATGAGCACCCCTGCTCACTTCCACCTACATCTATTTATAACCCCATTAACCTAACACATATCTCACTGAGACACAGCCAAATAGTACATGTACATCCCCCTGCTTCGTCTTCTTCCCCAATGGCGTCCAGATCTATGTTGTTGTTTGTACTTGCAGCTGCTCTCCTAGCTGTTTCTTCCTACGCAGACCAAGATCATCAGTTCATCTCCCAGGTAACGTTAAAACCAACTCATCATTTAACTTAACTAGTCTGATCCATTTCTTTTACATGGATTCACTTTTCTTTATACTTGTGTGTTGTCTCTTTCTTTCATCCACCCAGGAGGCTGTTAGTAGCACCAAGTATGCCAAATCTCCTCCACCACCGTCTACACCGGTGGTGAAGCCAGCGCCGACTCCCTCTCCTTCACCATCACCTCCGGCGAAACCCTCCCCACCGCCACTGGTCAAGCCAGTGCCGAGTCCCTCTCCTCCACCATCCCCGCCGTACAAGAAGCCACCAACTACTCCGACTCCTTCTCCAGCTGTCCCCAAGCCACCCACCCATTCCCCTGCCCCTTCCCCTTCCCCTGTTCCAGTCCCCAAGCCCCCAACTGCTGCCCCTCCTTCTCCATCGCCTTTCGTCCGCTCAATCAAAGGTATTGATTCAACAGAAAGCTCAACACTTTAGCCCTCCATTCTCTTGATAAGCTACGTTGTAGCTCTAGTTAGTAGTAATGTTTGATATCATCATCATCTATCCCCTGTTTCTGCAGATTGTGCCCCACTGTGCGCGAATCGGTGCAAGCTGCACTCGAGGCCGAATCGGTGCAACAGGGCCTGCGTGAGTTGCTGCTCCAAGTGCAAATGCGTTCCACCTGGTACCTCTGGCAACCGGGAGAAGTGCGGGACTTGCTACACTGGCTTGACCACTAAATTCAACCAGCCCAAGTGCCCTTAGACAAAACTCTCTCTGTGTTTCTTGCTTCGTATTGTTGTGGATTTAGAAGCTATGCAATGTTGAATCATCGGAAAGAGTCTTGAGAGAGAGAGAGAGAGAGAGAGAGAGAGACCAGCGGGATCGGAAAATAAAATGGGGTTGCTAGATAGTTTAATGTTTTGCCGGAGTCTCAGATGTGTTTCCTGCTACTATTGTGTCCATCTTGTTACCATGTTCATCTTCATCAATATACTAGCGTGCCGTTATTGTTGATCTTTCTTTGTGTTGGTTTTAACTTGCACGTCCAATTTTCTCGAAGCAATTCAGCCCTGCACAGAAGGTTCATGTGTCTCGGAGCCTTGCAAATTGCAACTTGGATAAGAATGACCTTGTTATTTGTCTCGGTGCATGTGTTGTTCCTGTCTCGAGGAAGGACTATAACCAAGGATCCCTTATGCTTGGAATTTCCCAAAACGTTACTTCTTTTAAGGTAGAAAGAGGTTAACATGACATACTTTGTTATATTAAGTAAATGGTTTAAACAGAGGCAGTATTATAGAATCACTAATTAATATGTTGAAGTCGGTATCTTTCTTAGCCATTTAGTACATTTTCTTATATGTATACCTCGCACCGGTTTCACATGACTACCTATCAACAGTTTGGCTATTTGTCAACCACCGCGTTTGGTTTTGCTCTATCTTGTATAGACTAACTACATTGTATAGACTAACTATGTCAAAACAAAAACAAAAAAAAAAAAACTTGTGCCCAAACTGAACACAAGAAGTGTGTCAAGCAAACATATAATGGGCCTTCCATGGGCCTCAGAGGCCCAAATCCGAATCATAATATCTGAATTCGAGATCCAATCTCGTTCAACAAGACAACAACTGCCCCCGGCAGGCAAGACTCAAACACTGCAGCCTAACCGGAACCGTAAACAGTTAACTGAAAAGAGAGCCGAGCAGAGCGAGGGAAGGGGGAAAGCAACTAAGCAAGACAGAGGAAAGGCAAAATAAGATAAAAGATCGCCCGGCAGCAATGAGAAGCGCCGACGGGATCCTGGGCACTAGAGCCGGAGCCGGAAGAGTGGGAGCCGATGTAGCGAGGAGAAGGAAATGGCTAAAGAGACGAGAGACATGGCTAGTTATACTTGGAGTCATTCTCCACGCTGTTTACATGCTCAGCATCTTCGACATCTACTTCAAGACACCAATTGTCCACGGAATGGATCCCGTTCAGCCTCGCTTCACTGCCCCCGCCAAACGCCTCGTCCTTCTCGTCGGTAAAGCTCGCTCCTTCGGTAGCAATTATTTTTTTTCCTTCGGTTGGGCAACTGTCAAGTGTTCGATAAAATGCCTCTGAGGGACGGGGATATTATTTTCTTCAACTTTTTCATTTTGAAACTTGCTGTATAGTTAGTTCGTTGAGTTGAAAAAAGTATTGCTGCAGCTGATGGATTACGTGCTGATAAGTTCTTTGAGCCGGATGTGGAGGGAAACTACAGAGCGCCATTTTTGAGGAGTGTAATTAGGAACCAAGGTAGATGGGGAGTCTCTCATGCTCGGCCACCTACTGAATCAAGACCAGGCCATGTAGCTATCATTGCTGGGTTTTACGAGGATCCTAGTGCTGTCACAAAAGGTAGTGTATTGATCATTGGATTTAATTGAGCTTTCTTTCACCCACAATTATTGAAGAATCTAAAAGGATACGATAGATGCACTTGACTGCACATATTCATTGTTTTTTTCAGGATGGAAAGCTAATCCGGTGGAGTTCGATTCAGTTTTCAATCAAAGCAGGCATACCTTTTCTTATGGCAGCCCAGATATTGTTCCAATCTTCTGTAGTGCGTTACAACATAGCACATGGAAGAGCTATCCTCATGAGTTTGAAGATTTTGCAACTGGTTAGTTAAAGTTCACGACTTTGAACATCTTTTGCGAGAAGTTTGTCTCTTTAGGTTTAATTTTTATGTTTCACTGGTGGGAGCTCAAGATTATGACATTCAGATGATATGTCATGAATGTGGTCAAAATATATCATTTTGATGGACTGCCATGAAACTTCCATTTCCTATACGCTAGCCTGGTTGTGTGATTTTCAGTTTTACTGAATGCTTTATCAATTCAATAGTCTTAATGCAGATGCTTCCTTTTTGGATGAGTGGTCTTTTGATCAATTTCAGAGCCTTCTGAATAGGTCAAACGAAGACCCAAAGTTGAAGGAGTTACTTCTACAGGATAAACTAGTCATATTTCTGCATCTGCTGGGGTGTGATTCAAATGGACATGCACACAGGCCCTTTTCATCTATTTATCTCAATAATGTTAAGGTTGTGGACCGCATTGCCAAACGCATGTATGCTCTTCTTGAAGACTATTACAAGGACAATCGTACTGCTTACATATTTACAGCTGACCATGGAATGAGCGATAAAGGTCTGTAGACAACTATTTATCTCATCCATTTTGCTTCTTCGTGCTTTAACTAAGAGACATTGATAAAAAGTTCCAATCCTTGCCCTTCATGCTTAATTGGACAACATACAACATTAACAAGCCAGATTTTCGCCATTGCCCTGTTATATTATCCATTTTACAAAGAGATTTCCCATGCTTTCAGAACAGAAAAAATTTAACATCACACAGTTAAATCGATAGCCATGCAATTATTGATGTTTCTGAACCTCTTTTACATCATTGTGAAGTATCCCTTTGCTTTATGTTACAAAATAAGTATTTCAGAGCTCCTCTGTGTCTGCTCTTTTTTACTCCAGGTCCTCACATTAATGGTTTCCCTAACAGGCAGTCATGGCGATGGGCATCCTTCAAACACTGATACTCCCCTTGTGGCTTGGGGAGCAGGACTCAAATATCCAAGGCCGGTATCTGAGAGCAGCCATTCTGAGCATGGTTTACGCTTTGTTGATGAGCATGAGCATGACACACCTACTCCAGTAGAATGGGGCCTAAGTGGCATAGAACGAGTGGACGTTAATCAAGCTGATATTGCACCTCTTATGGTTATATACTTCTGTGCCTGACAATTCTACGTGCTGAACCTGACAATTTATTTTCAAATCTAAACTATTTATATTCTCTGAGGTACTGACATTACTTCACTTTTGCTTTTTTGTTGGCAGTCAACACTTGTTGGCATACCTTGTCCTGTTAACTCGGTGGGAAACTTGCCATTAGGCTACATAAGCATGAACAAGGTCAGTACAGCATTACCGACTCAGTCTGAGTTGCCGATGAACTTTTATATTTCTTGATAAGTTGCATGCTAGTCTCATGACTAAAACCTAGGGTTGGGTTACATCCAGTAAGGGTAGCCCCCTCTTCACGCTATGGCTTGGTAAGTTGGCAGTTTCTTCGCAAAACAAACATGATATATCTAATCTTAATATGACATCAGGTTGGTAGTGATGGTTTCTAGACCTGTTGACAGTTCCTATCTTTTTCCTATCCAGGCAGAAGAAGTTGAAGCTGTGTTAGCAAACACGAAACAGATTTTGAGCCAGTTTCTTCGCAAATCACGTATCCTTTGCTTCTCTCTTAAGTTCCAACACAGTACCTGAAACTTTCCAACTTATAGAAATCAACCGTGTTTAGCAAAAATCGAGACTGGTAGGTCCAAGGATGTAGCTCTATTTTCTTTGTCATGTCGATTTCCTTGACGATCTCAGAGTTGAAGCTGTCAAGCTCCTTGTATTTCAAGCCATTTGGACCATTGGCCAATCATTCAGCTTTACTGGAGCAAATTGAATCTCTAATATCTATTCAGGACTTTGAAGCTGCAGTAAAGCTATCTGAAGATCTAAGAAGCTTGGCACTGCAGGGACTTCATTATTTTCAGACATATGATTGGCTGATGTTAATGACCATGATCACTCTGGGGTACGTTGGCTGGATGCTGTATATTATTCTTCATGTCCTGCAATCTTATACTTCACTGCCGAGAGACATCATGAAGATGCAACCAGCTGTGCCACAAAAACATACTTCTGGAAAGAAAACTGTAAGCTTTCATACCTGTATATTTTATGTTTCAGAACTAGTGTGAAAAAGGAAAAACACTGTCAAAGAATTGACTAATCTTAGCTGTTTGTTAGCTAATTGTTTGTATACGCAATGAACATTTCTAGTTAAATACCTAAGGATATCGTTTTCAGTCTAGCCATCCTATTTGAAAGTCAGTAAATTGAATTTTAGTTAATTCAAAAACTTTTGCCCATGAAGTATTATTCGAGACTGATGTGTCGTGTGGAAATTCTATCATTTGTTGGGACATCTTCATTGGTTTATATTAACTGTGTTTGATTATGCTGCTGTGCTTAAAATTATTGATCTCTTTTGTTTTTCCTTCAAATTTTACGTTTATTGTCAAAACCAAACTTTTGTGGCAGCTGCCGTTTTTTACTTGTGAATCTTGGTATCTGATGTAACCATTCTGTTTCTTTTGATGAAATTTTTTGTTTGTTTCGCAGGTTTATCTGCTTGGATTTTTAGTCATGGGCATAACTTCACTTTTGTTGATTGTGGAGCATTCTCCTCCCCTTTACCATGCATATATTGCGATGACTGTGTTTCTCTGGACCAACATCCTTGGTGAATATCGTTTTATCCAATTGATATGGAGGTACTTGAGTCAGAGAAAGTCCAAGAGTGTTACTACACTACTGGCAGTTTTTTGTGTTTCATTAGTCATCCTTGAACTCCTGGTAAGTGTATCTAGTATGTCAGCTCTTTTCAAGCTTTTTATGCCATGTCGAAGCTGCAAGTTACATAACATCTCTGCTGCTACCATTAACAGGTGCATAGCTTTACAGAAAGAAAGCTCTATACTTGGTGTTTCCTAACTGTTGGAGTAGTGGCGTCTGTTTATCTTTTCAACAAGATTCCATGGAGATCATGGATATCTGTTTTTGTTTGTGCTACATGCTGGTGTTTGTCTGTTTTCACTCTGATGCCTGCAGAAATTCCTGATAATACTGAACTAGTGTAAGTTGTTTCTCTAATTTCATGCTGAGTGCTGTCTCCTTTTGAATTTAAATTGTGTTTACTGTTATTTGTATATTGGCCCAAAGTCCAAATGAGTGGAGAAGCAACAATGACATCCATATGTCTTAGAATTTTATAATACGAAGTTGCGTAAGAATGGTCACTTGCCTGCAGGATTACAAGTGGAGTTCTGATAGTCATAATTGGAGCAGCTGCAAGGTGGCTGGATTTTCATTCGGAAGGAAATAAGTACTGGATGAACATATGTTTTCATGGGAAGGAGAAACCAAGGTTCCCCATATTATTCTACATACAGGTGATAAAGATCTCTGTTTATTTTTTATTCATAGTTACCTCAAGATTTCTTATTTGACATTATGTATATTTTCTTTGAAGCGTAGGCTCTTTTGGTTGGATTATCATCAATCATGGTGCCATTGTCAACGTCTCACAGAACGGAGAAACAAGAACTTCACACATGGCACCAACTGATTAATTGGTTGATTGCAGGTATACTTTTAAATACCCATGTTTT